TCTGCAGGGTTGTCTATGAAATCAAAGACTGCCAAGATCACACCAATGCCACAACTAGCACAACATTCCCTAAATAATGGCTGTTTGGGCATTCCAAACCGCTGAATTGGAAAGGTGATATTCCACTGGGTTTCTGATACAGCCCTCAGCAGATTGTCAGCCAATTCATTGATGCTGGTAAGAGGACTCTGTTTTAAGCCATCATCATAGAATGCTTGCTGCTGTGCCATATTTAGGCAAAGGAGACCCCAGTGGTTGCCATTTACGTGGACTGGAGTAAGGATCCATGCAACATCACCAAGATCCATTCTTGAAAGGTAGGGCTTCAACTTTGTTTGTAGAAATTGGACATTTCTGGTTAAAGCCCAGGTTTGTGTAAATGACGGTAGATACAAGGAATGGGACTTTTTTCACATGGTTTCCTCACTGTACCTCAAACATGCAGCATCAAACAAAAAGCCACTAATGTACCTCTCAGCAGCTAAGGTTGAAAGGTCTTCAGCATCAACCATGACATCACCAACTCTAAGGATTTCTTCTTGAGGTTCACTGTCAAAAAGCAAAGCCCTAATTTCCTTAATTTGCCGAGGGGTTAATGTGGCGCTTGTAGTTTTCATCCAATATTCCTCTTCTTGGACTCTAAACTTAATGGAGGAAGCTTTTGATGCTTTCATCCAAATGTCTAGAGCTCTGCTGTCAAAGACCCCAAGTACTCCAAACTTGACTGCAGTGTCGAAATCCTCATCATCACTGGTTTCTCCAGTTGCCGCATCCATCAGTCTATAACCCTTAGTGATTGCTGATTCTGAAGGCCTAACTGGGGACTGCAGAGGATTATTAAGACGCCCAGCATCAACAACCAGCTCGATGTCATCGTCTGGAATTTGAATTACAGGCGGAAGATTAAGGGTAGCAAGCTGGTCTCTGGAACAATTATTTGCAACACAAATTCGTAAATCATGAATAAACAAAGGTTCTGATGGTTGAGGAACAAAGGCAGTTTTAGTATCCACTGTGACACTGGACGAAGGGCTGCAACTGGAATTTGAAGGGCTAGTGGCGGGGCTTGATAAGAGGCTTGTGGAAGAGCTGCTGACTGGGTCAGTGTTGCTGGAAGCTGGGCTGCTAGCTGGAATGGATTGTGGACTTTGTTTCTGTTCCAGCAAGGAAGAAAAACTGGTCAAAACTGTAGGAAAGAGCTGCTCCCACAGTGCATGATCATATTGATAGATAGGTAAACAGTCGGGTGATATTACCAATCGTTTTAAACCTTTGTCAAATTCATAAGAAAGAGCATCCTTGCCAAACATTTTGTTGAACAAGTCATTCAAGGTGAAAATCCAGGCCATGTCATCTTTTGACTATTACACTTCTTTTTTCCTGGACCAACCGCAGCCTCAAAAATGGAATGGTTTACCTGACATACGAAAAAAAAACCTTGGCATTAATTGGCAGAAAAAGGGAACCAGTCACAGTTAAAACAACAACAACAAAAGATTTTAACAGACTGCGTTCAATAAGCTCTAAGCTTACTGCAAGTTTTTATGTGGTTAGTTTTCTACTGCTCAAGAGGAAGAATGACAACATATTAATGTTATCTCACCCCATTCCAGGTAGAAAAAGATAAAGTGCATGGTAATGTTGTCATTGAATATAGTGTATGCTTTTTATGGGAATACACAACTCTAAGTTTTTTATATAATGTTGTCTCAACAAGGTAGAATACATTTGACTACACATCTAAGGGACTGACATAAAAAGAAGTTCCATTATAAATTATAATGTTTCTAGCTGGCAAACATTTTAGAAGATAATCACCATTTTCCATGCTCTCTATAGCCATTCTGAAGCAAAGCCGCAGGAACAGCAACTTTTCAGAAAAGAAATGTTGCAAAATCTGTTGGACTTAATATAATGAAATAAAGTTGATTATTCAAAAGTGCCAACAACTTCAATACCACCAAGAACATGTGCTATAAAATTCAAGTAGAAATTTAAGTGATGAATTTAAAATTCAAACAATGACTTTTGTTGGGGATCGCACGCCATAGACTTTGCCTTTTTCCCCAATGGATTCTAGTTTTCACACAATAAGATACATAATATTCAAGAACATGAACAGTGTAGCTCCCAAAAACTGATATTTTACCAATATGGTATGAATGACTTCAATACTAACTGTAAATTGGCATTTAAAATTTCAATAAAGACCTCTGGCATCAGGTTTTTCATGCATGGGACACTGCAAACAGGTCTCAAATATGAGAACGTGAAGTGGTCTTCTGGTCGCGTTTGCAGTTTGCAGTTCAAGTTTGAATGGCAGGAAGGACTTACAGCAGTATTAAGCGACTTACAGCAATGTTTTTGCCACTAACAATTATATTATTGTTCAGCCTTACATTTAAAAGCACGAAGCAGCTTTCTACACCACCCTCTGATGTGCTAGTTAGAGCTGGTGATAAACAATAAATGTCTGCCTAAAGTTTAAAATCCAGGCAAAGTGAAACTGCAAATGGGTGACTGCAGCCTGCAGTTTATTGTTTGCAGTATCCCATGAAAAACTGATGCTAAAGGTATTTTTAATACCTATGGATGTTCTCCAACAGGAAATTATTTTGCTAACAATGAAAGATCTTAAGATTAAAGGATATTCAAAACAAGAATTAAAGTTCAAGGATTTTCCATTGACTCAACTTAGATTCAAGAGCTTTTAAGGGGGTAGCTAAAATTCAAGTGCTTTTCATATCCTTATGAACTATACATCATCCATCTGTGGTATCACAAAACAATGTGAAAATGACATGATGAGCTTCCTAACCTTTCTATAAAAAGAGTTGTTAGTTTAATTTTAACAATATTTAAGTAGGTGACAATATTAGTTTCAAGTACTGTAGTGTTGAGATGTATGATAATATAAAAAAATAAAGTACTAAAAAAGTAAAATATAAAACTAACTTGATGGAGCATGACCATGCCTGTCATGGGAAGTAGCCTTTGAATATAACTGACGCTGTAGTGAGTGTGCTGCGCCTCGAAGCCTTGATTTGAATACTCCCTCAAGCTGAGGTGGTTTCTAAACAGCATGCTGGCATGTTCAGTGGTGATGTGACCACAATCACCAGTGCCCAGTTTGCAGCCAAACACTTCCCTTAAAAGGAATCCCAATTTTTTGCACTAAAAGAAAAAAGAGGCATATTTCCATGGGTGTTAAACAGTTTTCAAAATCAACATTGCAGACTGTGCAGTTAAACTGACGGCGGGTCTAAAATACAGGTAACTTTTCCACACTGTCAGAGTACAGTTCACCATGATACAGACAAATGAATAGCATTAAAAGTGTTTGCAAGCACTAAACTCTTAACAAAATGCTCTATTAGATAGAGGGGAATCTGTGTGGTTTGGCAATTTATCTATGGAGCACTGACATGTACTTATTACCTGGGGAATGTGACCTGTACTTTGTGAATATCTTAAACATTTTAGGAGAGACAAACATGATTTTACTTTTAAAATAATAGTGTATGTGCCTCATTCTATAATCAAACTTGAAGTATTGTTTAAAAGACCAGCCTGAGTGTATTTCCAGGTTCTGATTATACATGACTGCAAATTTTTTGAACAGCGTCAAAATCTCTGATATAGATCTTGTACAAATATTTAGATCTGTTTTTTTTTAATCTAAAAAATTGGATGTAAAGTTTTGCCATACCTTTGTCAGATAGACACTCAAAAAGCATTTCTTTCTTTCTTTCTTTTTTGTTTTTGAATGTCAGTTAAAGTGACTGGAAATTATTTTTGAATTTCTGGTCATGCAATGGCTTTTAATTGTTGCGCGGTCTCTGGTAAAAGATTTACAAGAAAAACCACTACAGCTGTATTTAACCTTCTTGTCTTAATTTATTATTGTAATAGTTTTAGACAGTATGCATATTTTCCATTAAGATCCGGACTTCATTTCCAAATGGTACTTTGGGCAATTCCACATGAGAGGTGAAAAATCAATCATTTTTAAAAGAAGGATATTGGAATTAATTTCTGTGCCATCAAAGAGAAGACACATCACTGTATTAAAAACATACATGTCATTTCTGTTTTCGCCCTTCTACACTCCGCAGGAGGTCTACTACTCAATAGGTCATATAAACAAAGAAAGCATGGGACCCACAGGTGCAAGTTAAGGAACAATTTGTCAAAATATCAAAATCAATGCAGTCCCCATTTTTGGTTAGTAGAAAATACCTAAGAAGATGAGTAATGTCCGTAACAAAATTTCACTTCTTTCTTTCTGTCAGACAGGATTTCACTCTTTAATCAAATGAAAATAACTTCTCCTACTCCTTGGATTTGTTAGTAACATGATTTGCCTGATAAGCTTTTTATTTCTAGTAGGCTTTTTAATCATAGAAACTATTTCAAAGATACATAATGTCTGTAACGTAATGTCCATAACAATACAAGTCTCTAAGGCAAAAATGAAATATAAGTATTCTTAAGTGTCTTTATACAAATATCCAAAGGTATTGAACCAAGTGACAGTTAGGGTACCAACTGAGCTCTATAATTTATCAACAATAAGTGAAATAATGCTAAAAAAAGCTAAACAAAAGTTTCAAATTCAAACAGTGCTGAGTAAGAAAACGTGTTCTTCTTAAAAGACCAGAGTTGTTTTATTCACCTAAAAACTGATCAGCCATGTAGCATCTTAATGAGACTTTCTTTGCTTTTTGATTTCTTTAAACCTTTTCTTCAATGTTTTGCTGTTTTGGAACAGCAAATGGGCCAGCACTGTCCAGGGTGACGGGGCCATAAAACATGCAAGAGATGTGCATATCATCAACGTCACCCGGCTGGGCCAGTCAAAACTCTTTGCACCCACTCGATGGAGGAACTTGAATCTTACAAAGCTATCAGCTTGACTGAGTGCATGTCCAATGTAGTAAGTTTCCACATATTCAACAGCATAATACTGCTCAGGTAGGATGCCTTCTGGTGGGATTGGGTCACAGTAGCTTTCTTTGATGCAATTCCAACAGCATGAGTTTCCTGAAATCTGAGATGCTGCCATCACTGATTATCTCACCATAACCAACCCTGCAAACATCTTGCATACAAGCAAGTGAACACTCCACAGTCATAGTCATTGGTCTGTTCAGGAAAATCTCCTTTTTTGTTCACTATAAGCTTGCACTGATTCAGGTCTACATTGCCGTTGATCTCTTGGAGAAGGCCACACATCTTAGAAATAGCATCAAGACCTGTATGTTTAATGTGGTTACTTGGCATACTGTCTAAGACAACAACAGATTTCTCCTTTGGCAGAACTGCTAGAAGAGTCCAGTGCTCAGACTCTGGGGTATTGCATGGCACAAGGACTACATCCTGAAGCAGAAGTGGATTTCTCCCTTTCAACAAGCGATGCACTGGAAGTGAACCAACTGCTCTCTCAAACAACTCACATGGCAAGGTTTCAGCTGCCAAACTGTTGTTAGCTGCACAGGTCACTTGAATAAGCCTCAGGTATTCATCAATAATAAAGTTGGACAACCACTTATCTTGGATTTTCTTCCCCCTGCCATTAAACCATTAAGATCATCATTTTGAATCATACCACCTCCTTCAAAGCTAATTCAGCCATCAGAAACTGCATTTACTTGGCAGTCTAAATAATGTGGAAGGCTGAACAAAGCACATTCTTTGAATATATCGGTGATAGTAGCTTGTCAGGAAGGCCCTGCTGAACTTGGATATCTTTCTTCTCTGACATCTCTTCCTCGTCACTTGAACTTTTATTTGCATTGCTGGCTCTTTTCCTGAACCTTTGTTTCCAGTCAAACCTCCTTCTTCACTCGAGTCACCCTCTTCATCATGACTTTTACTGTCTTCCTTACTGCTATCACTTGAAACTTCTTTGTATGTGTGATGGCTGTTTCTTGAAGCATTGCTGAAAAAGTCTCCTTTCTCTTCACTGGTCTCGTTTTCATCAGCACTGCTGGTACTGTTGCTTCCCTTGCTTAGAGAGGAAGAGTCTTGATCATCACTATCATTTTGATCCAGGTCTTCATTTTCTAAACCAGAAAACTGGACACCCATTTCAGTCCAGGTACTCTGGTAAGAGAAAGTACGGCAACGAATAAGACCATTCCTGAGTGGTTCTAAGCTGTGAAATTTGGCAATACCTGGGATTACTGGTGCAACAGAGAAGAATTTCTTTAATCCAAGTAAGTCTGCAGTAGCTTCTAATTCTTTAAATCCAACAAAGGTCACCGCAACAGATGTGCTCAACTTATTTGCAACACTTGCAAAAGAGCAAGCATCTTTGACTGCTTCCACCTTTCTTGTGGATACAGCATTCCAAACCATGCGCTTCGTAGTTCCCCCAATACCATAAACAGCCCCTTTCCCATGTGATGTGGCAAAGTAGTTCCACTGGATGTTAAGACCTTGACCTTGAAGTAAATGGAGAAAATGGGCAATGTACCTGTTCTTGAACTGCGAGCTTGGTCCATCTGAAAATATCCAAACTCAAGTTTATGTTTGGGTGTCTCCCCTTCACAAGGTCGTTGACAACTTTGCACATGAACACGGCAACAGATGTTTTGTCATGCTTCAAATCATCTGAAACAATGACGTGAGATTCACAACAGCTGTTTTTGTCTCCAGACTTTGTCCAGATTGCAACAGTGAACAGGGTAACTTGGTCTTGGCTCCAGTGTGCTGACTGAACTTCTCCCTGGTACTTGCAGCTGAAATTTTCAGCAAAATCAACTTGCACCACTGCCTCTTCCTCTGTCAGATGTTCTATCTTCTCTTTGAAAATTCTTGCCTGTTGTCGCTTTACAAACACATGTTCTAAGAATGATGGCAGCTGAACTTCTAGATCTTCCACTAAATCATCAACAGTACCCTCTTTCAGAACTTTCTGAATTTTCTTTACCCTTTTCATGCTTTTTCCTTTCTTTGCCTGCACCATTTGTTCCACATGCTCTCACTGATACCATGTTGCATGCTCATCAAGGTTTCCTGTACTTGACCTTATTTTTTGCAACAAGCTGGGGCATTTTGCACACTTTTTACATTTGCCAAGCATGCAAAGTTCTGACTCAGGGTTGCAAACAAAATTTTCTGCAAGACTTCCTGAGTACAGTGGAAAATCATCTATTTCCTTATGCAGGCTCTCACAAAGCACTTTGACAAACATCTCTAGGCATGTCAGCAGAAAGCAAGACATTCACTGGCCTTACGGAGCAAAACTTGTTAAGGCCAATCTCAGTGGTGGGGTTTTCTTTCATGAATATGCTATAACATTCCCTTAGGGACCACAACAAGTGCCTTTTCTGGATATGATGTTTTGTGTTGTTTTCCCGAACAGTGACAAAGTCTTTTCTGCCTAGTGCTCGGCGAGAGATGGAGTCAAGCTGAAAGAAAACTTTAACAAGATTTACCGTCTCTTTTGGAAGACCCTGGTTACTTCTAGTGCACTTCTTTTTCCTAAGAAAACCTGAAGCATGTGCTAGTTTGAAAACCACAGCCTTTCGTTTTCTGGGGCTTTGGGGAAGCACTCTGCTGCTGACCTTACCAAGAGCCTTTCCTAGAGCTTGAGGTGTTTGGTAAGCTTGTGATACATCTTGGTCTTGGGAAGAGTTTTTTGCTTTCTTCTCTTTTTGTCTTTGCCTGTATTTTCTGACTCTTTCACGGATGAGTTTCTTCCTTCTTGCAACTTCACTTGGACTAAGGGCTTGACCTTTTCTTTGCACTCTTTTCCTTTCTTTGTCTTTGTTCTTATAGGCCTTATACCTCTCAACATCTACTTTGAGTCTTGTTCTAAAAGTTCTGGCCCTTTCAGCCCCTGTTTTGACATTTTTTTTTAGAAAAGACAACCATCTTGTTTATGTAACTTTCAGAGTACAATGAGATGTCATAATTTGATTAAAACTACTGGTCAGTCGTTTTCTTTCAAAGAATGTTCAGAGCATGCTCTGAAAAGGAATGCGCTGACCAGCTATAATTACAAAACAGCTTTTGTGTGCTTTTGTTTTCATTTAATTTTCAAGGCTTCTATACATTGCTGATGGTAAACTTAACACCTAAAAATAAATGAAATAAGCAATTTTTTAGCATCATAGTGCACATAATATAATTTTCAACAAAAAATTCACAGACAGTAATGTCCGTAACACTTGGTGTAATGTCCATAACACAACCTTTTAGGGAACCAAAGCAGTTAAGATAGACCTCAGAGAAATTTAATGTGACTGAAGAAAACTTTGAGCATTTGCCAATAAAAAATATGCATTAAATTGCTCTTTTGTATCAACCACATTGCACCATAATGGCTTGCCTTTTGCACAATAAAAAAATACTCAGAGAACAAATTTTTAGCTCCCTCTGATCTTGACTGAAAGGCCTGTTACAGATATTACAGCTAAAACAACCGTCAATTTTATTCACGACTTTTAAGGCTCAGTTCCTGTGATTTATGAAACGTTTGAAGGAAACAAATTATACTGCATAATTGTGAACAGGACAGGAGATCAAAGTTGAAAAATGCTCTCTGAGTGTAATGTCTGTAATGGTGGAATTGCCCCTTTACACTCTAATACTAAAAGTGAATTACCTGACACATACCTGTATGCCAACAATGTCAATTAAATCTTGCTAATCTTCCTCGAAGACAGTACTTCTAATAACTTCAGAAATGTCTTTCCAGTCGGTGTAAACCTGAAATCAAAATGAATAATAACGAAAAGCCCAAATTACAATCTGAAATGAGGTGTTTTAAGCTAAGGGGAAACTGCATGCCTATCTCAGTTTTTTTTATAAGAGCATGCAGTGACCTTCCCTTGTGACCTGTGTTTTGTAACTGCCACTTGTTAAATTAAAGTTAAGAATTTTGTTCAAAAAAGCAAAATCAGCTTGACTAGTTTTAACTTAACGTGTCTGGATTTTGCCCCATATCTTATTTCTCATAAAACTGTCTAATGTGTCTTCCAATTAAGTAAAAAAAGACTTGATTATTTGATTACCTTTAAAAAACATTGGTAGAACACTTCTGCTGCATAATCAGATAGCTGAGAAAGATCATCATTGTCCACCTTCTGCCGTTTCTTTCCTCGTTTCCCTTTAGCAACCGACCCACCAACACAATTCTCTGCAGCCCCACATATCTTTCCTCGATTTCACTTAGCCTACCCTGCCAGAATTCCAGTCTTCTTAATGAACTTCTTTTCCAGTTTCTAAGGAAAACAGGTTAGGTAGTCACATCACGAAGTGTAACGGGGTATTCTTTTTAAGGGAGGACTATTATGCAAGAACACAAACCACTGGGTGTCCTTTACATGCTAAGGAACATTCACTCAGTTGGGATGCAGTAATCTGATGCAAAATGATGTACCCTTGATACACAATGGTCACATCATGGGGTTGTATCAATACTTAAATAGTGCTTGCTAGCCTATGACAACTTCCAGTGTCGATGGATGTAAATGCAGTCATTAATTCAATTCATTAGTTTATCACAGTCAAAGGGAGGGAAAGGTTTTAAATAACAGTATAATGACTGTAACATGTACCTGAACCTGTGAGGGTAATAGTCTCCTCCTTTGATTTAATTGAACCAAAGTCTCTGGTAAATGTGTCTGAAATAGCCATGTCCTGATAGTACTAAAACAAATTTTTAAAAATTCATTGAATATTTTAAACAGAAACCAGTTTTTTCAGTGTATGTTTCTACATACTACACAAAAAATATTATTGTGTGTTGCACTGGTTTAAGTGAAACATTCAAATCATGTGATATCCTGAGCCATACCTTGATTCTATCATTACAAAATATTGTGACCTTATTCAGGAGTGCCTCTTTCTGGATCAGCAAAATATGACTTCAAATTGTCATGAAGCAAGGAGTTCCTGACAATCATTTCAATGTTTGTGAGGAACTCACGTTCAGTAGAACCTTCAGGAAAAATAGTACAGAAAGAAACAAACAGGATTTAAATTCACAACTTAATGACATCTTCATTACAAACCAGTGTTACAGTTTTCATATTAAGGATCAAGGTATTGTACAAATGAAACTCAAGCAGCTGCTTCAGCACAAAAGTAAAAGCCCTGAAGCGGATAAAGGGAATGAAAGCAATCATGACAAAAATGAAACAATATAGAAGGTACCTGAAAATGAAGACACCTGAATGTTGTGCTTTTCAACAGCAGTTTCTTGGCCCTCCTTCATCCTCACTGTTATTCTGCTGCTAAAATTCTCACGGCCATTATTTGCCAATTCGGCATTACATTCATCAAGTGAACCCACTTTGTACAAAAACAAACCCAATGATGACAACAACTCTTTGGTATTTCTAGGTTCGCAGTGAAGGGCGCAGAGATTAATAGACGATAAATTCTCTTTAAGAAGGAACTCTAAGTCATCACAGATGCCTTTGAAACTAGAAAAAAGAAGATTAATTATTCTGTTAGTTGTGGGGGATATCTTCCCTGAAGTGGTACTTAACAGTTTTATAGATTTCAAACGCAAGTATTTTACTCAACAAGTTTTCAGTCTTTTATGACAGTGCCCCTACAACATTGACACACCTACAGTAAAGCAAGACTGTGGTATATTATTATGGGAAAATAATATGTGCTCTCTAGGAAAACAATTAAGACAAGGATAATTGCCAACATTTTATAGACAGGGGCATTAAACACCATGTTTGTCCAAAAAAAGCTTTTTGCTTCCTTTTCCATGCAGTGGAACTTCCCATTTTACAAAAGGCAAGGCTTAATTTACAAAACATTATTGCTAAAATGAGGTCTATATAAAAAGTGAGTCTTTTATAGAAAACATACTTGTTAAGCTATAAATGCTGGGATGAAGGGATTCACTCACTATACCAGGGAATTTAATTTTTTGAATAAAGGTTAACCGCATTGAGATAACCTTAATGTTTTGAATGCTTTTTATAATTAGAAGTTACTGTGAATTCAAAATGACAACTACAAATGCTGAAATTCATGAATAATCAAGGGCTGCATGCCTCAACAAGTATCAACGGAGAATTCTTAGTAAACCAAAACTATAACTAAATTACCCTCCAATATTGGCCTTGGACATGCTAAAGTGTTTCAAACGAACTGTATGTGGACCAAGATCGCAACATCCCATAAAAATAGCCATTATTCATAGCTAGTTTTTTCTAAGAAATTTTACCCAGCACAACTGAAAATCTAATAGTACTATATTAGTATTAAGTTGGTCATTGGTAAGGTCAAAACCTGCATAGTAGAATTTGTTGACTCAGAGATTTTGAATATATCCACATACTCTCAATGCTTTGCATATAAAGCAACACTCTACTTCAGTTCCTTGTTTCCCAAGCTGAAAGTTCGCTTTCCCTATTTGTTCCAGCAAAAAATAGAGGGCCTTTAGGTCAAGTATAACTTACTGTAGATATAAATTTTAAAAACAGGTCAATGTACATACAGGCATTTTGATTGAAAATTATGGTACTAAAAAATACCTTATTAATAATTATTATGTGAAACTTACCTTTAAATCTCACAGCATAATGCACTCCATCCACTGTGATTCCATTCTTCTTTAGTGCATCCTTTTGTTTGTTGACATTATAACAATCAGCTTTTTTAGGTTTTTTTCCTAATAATAATCAAAAGTAAAGTTACCAGTAAACTGAAGTTAATATTACTAAAATGAAAAAAAAAAGGAAAATGAAATACCATACTGCTAGTCTAGTCTGTGGCAGATAGTTCTTAAGACTTGAAAACATATAAAGGTCGGGTTTGAGTGGTCCACTAATAAATTAAGACCTTTGCGGTAAATTAATTTTCAAACATGATCGTTTACTGGGGCCTTTAGGCCTCATATGATAAATTTGTTGTAAATCCACAAATTATTTCAGCTTGCATGTATATATGTTATATAACTGGTCGACAACCAAAAATTACACAGTCAAAAATTTGGTACAATAAAAATTTTCACTAACAAAACTAGTTATTTTGGAAACAAATAACTATTTGACTAGTGAATCAAATTTAAATACAACATACCTGTCTTCCTTACAATTAGCAATATCTAAAGGGCACACTCATTTGCAGCTCTGATTACACATGAATGGTGTGTCTTTGGGGACTACACCCATTAGGACCTGACTGTGCCCTACAAATGAGAGGAAACAAAACAAAGGCATTTCAAAAATTTAAGCACCACTTCATGAC